CAGGAAATTCTTCAGGGGGGTGTAATAAGGTCAATTCAACCGACTGGTTCAAAAAAAATTTTTCCGGGTCAAAAATTTATTTTTTGTCGCCAAAAAAATTTCGGTCAGTGTACCATTTTAGGGGTCCAAAAATTTTTCCGGACGTACAAAAATTTTCCAGAACATTCAAAAATTTTCCGCACATAGCAAATTTTCAACATTTTTTTACATTTTTCCAAAATTTTTACATTTTTCCTCAAAATTTTCCTAAAATTCCCACCACGTTCTTGCCCTTTGCGCCGAAAATATTTAACCCAAATAGCAGTCCTACCGACTGAATAGCAGTCCTGCCGACTGAATACAATTACTGGGGGGGTGTCACACCCCCCCACACCCCCCCGTAGCTCCGGGCCTGGGCAGGTTTTCCATGGGGTAGTGCATGAGGGAGCCTTACTGCCCACTCTCCTCTGCCGTCTGCAACGCTACTATCCCAACATTACCATTATTTGAGATTGCCGAATCTGTATGTTTGCCGTTCTGTTACGTTTTACATTATCTTTTGTTTATAAAGTTCATATCGGCTTTTTATCACGTATTCGTGACTGGACAGTTGCTGTAGCACAGTACAGTAAATGTGCTTGTTTAAGTACAGTATATTTGAAAATACGGCTGTATAACAACCTCGACATGTTTAAATATTTAACACTAAAGCATTCTGAGTATTTTCTCGTCACAAATCAATTAAATCGTTTCAAGAAATCGACACGCGCTAACAGTAGAAGTTCCGCTAATCGCTATTCGAAAAACAGAGTAAAGTAATAAAGTAGGGTGCATTGGCCATTAGGCCACATAAAATAAATTCCTTGATTCTCATCACCGCCCGACTGTATTTTAAGAGCCGCGTGAAATTTTTTTATATTTTGTTATACAATATAAATGTACCGCCCGACAAAATATTTCAAGACAGTTAAGTTTTTTATATTTAAAATTGGGTTTTTATTGCATTTTAAACTGCCAATTTCAAACAAATAGAACCTTGAAAGAAATTTCATTGCATTTTAACGGAACTTCGCATTCAGTTGAAGGGTTCAGTCATTGTTCGTGGAGAAATATGTTCATTTTGGTTTGTGATACTTTACTTTGGAAATCACAGAAATATTAAATGTTAGGAATTATTTTTTTATTTATTGATGATAAATTATATAAATATAAAATATAAACCTCCCGGCTCTTCGACATTTTCAAAGTGTAGTGATGAGAATCAAGGAATTTATTTTATGTGGCCATAGGGTGCATTTAACTTATGGATGCAGATTCCAGTTACAGACTAAATTTTGATCTAGGCAAGAAGAACAAAATCCATCACCACAGCTAGAAAGAGTATATTAAAATTAGTAAAATTGCAAAGTTTGGTTGCGAAATGTTGTAAAATGCGGAAAATATAGGCCTACGAAATTTGCAAATTTAAAGATGCATTTTCCCGCGCGTAATACAAATTAGGCCATATAAAACAAATTCCTTGATTCTCATCACCGCCCGACGATATTTTGGTTTCCGCGTTGATATATTTTTGTATTTTGTTATAAAATATAAATTTACCGCCCGACCGAGCATCTTCAGAGATTTAGTTATTTTTATATTTTATATTGGAATTTTTGCGATATAAAATTGTTTTATCGTTAATATTGCGGCATGTTAAGGGATGCTCGGAATACTGAAGGAAAAAATGGGCTTATAGCCTTATTACAACGATTTGTGTGGACCCTTATGCATGTTCATTAGCGCATGTGCAATTATCCACTTATATAGCGTTCTTCTATAATATATTTAAATTAAGGGCAAATATAAAAAGACCTCCCTCTCCAATTTTTTAAATTTTAAACTTTTTTTTAATATTTTGACATAAAATATAAAATATAAACCTCCCGCCTCCTGGGAGTTTTTAAAATTTAGCGATGAGAATCAAGGAATTTATTTTATATGGCCTTAATACAAAATTTGAAAATTTCGTAGGGCCATATTTTCCGCATTTTACAACATTTCGCAACCAAACTTTGCAATTTTACTAATTTTAACATGCTCTTTCTAGCTGTGGTGATGGATTTTGTTCTTCTTGCCTAGATCAAAATTTAGTCTATAGTATAGCTGAACAGTTAAACATGTTTTTAAAATTGTGTTCTTATTTTAGGTTATGGCAACTGAGGAAATTGAAAACAAAATGACAGTTCGATTTTTAAACTAGCTCTACAAGCCTTGAATACGTGTAGTAATAACTAATAATTAAATTTACAATCACAATATTTGCACCTAACAATTGACCATTTGCGTAATAGACTAAATTTTGATCTCAACAAAAATTTCATCACAGCTTGAAAGAGCGTCACAAAATTAGTAATATTCCAAAGTTTCGTTGCGAAATGTTGTAAAATGCGGATAATACAGCCTTGCGAAGTTTGCAATTTTCAGTCATTTTAGATTACAAATGGGAAATTGACAGCCCGAACGCTTTGAGGCTATATTATCCGCATTTTACAACATTTTACAACGAAACTTTGGAATATTACTAATTTTGTGATGCTCTTCCAAGCTGTGATGAAATTTTTGTCTAGACTTGTTTAGATCAAAATTTTGTCTATTACGCAAATGATCAATTGCTAACATACAAATTTTGTTAAATATGCGAACATTAGATATCATGTACACGCGTAAAAACGCACAAGTTGTAACAAACCTGCAGCAGACTTTTGTAGCAATGCTGTTCCAACAACTTGTCAACAGGATGTGTTCGCACTGCTTGTTCCCAGCTTGTTGACAACTTGCTACAAGGTTGTTCAGCTCAACAGACTTGTTACAAGTTGTTCCAACAACTTGTCATCGTCCTGCAATTCAAGAATTTGTCAACAAGTTGTGAGTGACAACCTTGTAGCAACTTGATAAAATAACAGCATTGTTACAACTTGTTGACAAGCTTGCTACAAACCTGTTGCGAACACATCTTGTTGACAAGTTGTGAGTTTTTACCTGTGTACTAAACGTGTCGTCCACAGTTATCAATATTTTTTACAAGCGTATGGACACTAATACTTGTTTCTTTAGTAATTCTAGGTATTGTTACACATTTAGTAATACAAGATGATGAAATTGTGTAAAATATTTCTTGGTAATGAATAAATTACGTTTACTTACAGTTTTAAGTGTTCCACTCAGAATTGAGTGGATTTTTCAAGTATATTATTAAATATAAAACTAATTTGGATAACATGCATTCTAAGATGTCAAAAAATGATGTCAAAAAAGGGGACTATACTATAATGGGATCTGGGGGCATACTCCCCCAGAAACTTTTCAAAATCAGCTGTCTCACGTAGAGCTGTGCGGTTCCAAAAATTTTATCTCGGTTCCGGTTTCGTTTTTTTTGGAACAAAAAAAACCTCGGTTCGGTTTCGGTTATTTTCAAAAAAGAAGAACAGTACAAATGTATGAACTCATTTATGTATGTTTCGAGCATTTTTACGAAATAGATGAATTTATGCCTTTGTAAGTTTGTATAAATCTCTGAATATTTTAAAAGAACAATTGGAATTTATTTATGAAGATGTAATATTTCTTAGTTTTTAAAAAAATTTAAAGCAAGTTCACAAAAATGACTATCACAACTAAAATATCAACTATTTGAGCACTTAGTACAGTGCATATTGTGCACAAAGAGCACAATCTTGTTATTTTCCAAACATTTCAACCTGCAATCAGGTGGGCGTTTGGCGGGCGTTAAACGGGAAATTAAAACCGAAACTACCGGTTTTTTGCGTATAGTTTTTCGGTGCTGAAAAACGTACCGGAAGAACAGAATTTTTCGGTTAACCGCACAGCTCTAGGACTCTCACGTACCTCGCGCTCTGCACCCCAAAACGAATTACAGCTCCACCATAAACCGTTGCACTGCCTAGCTCAACCCAAAACCTTTACTATTTTGAATCGCGAGAAAAAGTCGACTGCGTAATTTCTCCTTGGAGCCATACTCAGGAAACATGAGCTGGTTAAAACACGTCAAGGCCGTGGGCAGTTTCTCTGAATCCTCGCCCTGTTTTATGATGTGAAACGCGACGTTGGATAAACCTTTTAGAGGGACACGGTCGTTTCCGGTCACAAAGGAAAGCAAGCGTTTCTTGTCGTCTTCGTTCATGGTATGAACAATGTCCCAGAATGCGAGAATTATGGGGTGTGTTTTACTAAAACCGTTGTCGTAGCTGGTCGATTCCTCAATAGAAGTGAAGTCAATATGAGGGCAGCCACATATCAAAAGCTCCAGCTCTTCTGGGTGGACCAGTTTTAGGCAGGACACGTCACAAACCTTCAATGATAGAACAGAGTGTTAGCTCAGTGCAAGCCTCGAATTTCCCTGAAATCAATCGACGGCAATGGCGTTAAAAATTGCCGTAGAACGTAACAGCTGTCTACGGCAATTTTGCTTACTAGTCCTTTACCACTTCTGTGATACGTTTGATAACGTTCGGCTTGTGAATGTTTGATAGTTTGATAACGTTCGGCTTGTGAAATTTACTGACTTTTCTGCAGTCTAAAGTTTCATGTTGTCTGCACATTTACTTTCTTTGGAGACACCATTTGTCTCCCAACAAATCGGAAAATGATGAAGATATAGATTGATTCACATATTGTATTGACATATGACTGTTGACTTTGAAGTTTTCAGTCTTCAATATTTAAGTGAGTCATGCTTTGGAATTGACAATATATTTTTATTACCCAACCTTTGAGTTGTTTCGTTTTTGATTTACCCAACCTTTTACTCACTCAAAATTT